GGCTCCTCAGTAAGATGAAGGATTTACTTCGCAGCAGGTACCATGGTGTCCAGTAAAGAGTGAGATGACACACATAAAATGCTGGGAAAAAATGTTGGCCAAGAATTTTATATCTAGCAAAACTATCTCTTGAAAATGAAAGCAACATTAAGATAACATGCCCTACAAAGAAATATGAATGGAAGTCTTTCAAGCTGAATGAAAGGACACTGAACAAGGAACTGAAATGCGTATGCAGATATAAAAAGCTCTGGTAAAGATAACTACATTATAGAAGTCCTCATCAATGTACTTTTACTTTGTAGCATCTTCTCTTCCCATTTTTCTGATTTAAAAGACACATAATGCAATAATTACAAGTCTAAGGATGGGCACACAATATATGACAGTAAGAGAACAAAGGAAAGTAGAGTACATAAGGCTAGATTGGAGCAAATTTTCTATATACTATTGTAATTAAGCTGGTATCCAAACTGTATATAGTTTGGTATCCAACCCAAATCATACTGCTTAAAGGTAAGTTGTTAATTATAATCCCCAGTATACCTACTAATAAAAGAACCTTAAAAAATAGTATAAGAAAAATCATGGGAATTAAAATAGGACACCAGAAAATATTTACTTAACAAAAAAGGCAAAAATGGAAGAATAGAGGAACAAAAATGGTATGGCATAGAGAAAGCAAAAAGCAAAATGGCAGGTGCACATTCTCCCTGATGGTTAATTATTGTTAATGTAAATAGATTGAACCTATTGATCATGGGTGGATGTTGACTGAATAGATGGGGGGAAAAAATTTGTGCTGGAGGTTTAGCTCAGCAGTAGAGTGCTTGCCTAGTATGCATAGACCCTGGATTCTATCCCCAGCATGCATAAATAATAAATACCAAACTGTGAGCTTTTCATAAGAGACACACTTGAGATTCAAAGACATTTAAAACTTGAGAAACTTCTATTCATACTTATAAGGTAGTTGAGATCACAGTTACCTGGCTTTTACCTGTTAATAAAGCATAAAGATTAGAAAGGGAGCTTTCCGAGGACAACGTAATTGGTTGCTTCAGAAAATTCTTAAGACTGCCATACTTTGTTGAGAGAAATTAAAAATCTAAATCAACGAGCTATATCTTACTGCTCTTGGGTTGGAGGAGAAAATATCACTTTTCCTTAAGTTTATGTATAGATTCAGTGTAGAACCAATCACAGTTCCATTAGGGCTATATTTGAGAAAGGAGGTGGCAGAGACTGGTGTGTTGGTTTTGAAATTTCTGTGGAGATGCAAAAGGACCTGAAAAGACAATACAGTTGTAAAGGTGAACAGTGTTGCAGGAGATGGTCTACAAATTTTCTTCTTCCCTACCAGAAAATTAGAAATAAATCATAGGTCTACATGGAAAACCCCTAAAAGAAAGATATCTTCTGAGCATTGCTTAAAGTAAAAAAATAAACTCTTAGCAAAGTCTCAAAAGCACTAAATATAAAGGAAAACTGAGTAAGTTGGATTTTTGTTAATTATTAAAATCTTCCATTAAAATAACAAAATTAAAATAACAGGTATGTATGTACCATTACATACCTGCCAAGGAAGTGGACCAGTAGGAACACTCAAGCCCTGCTGGTGGAAGTGCAAAATGGCATGTAGTCACTTTGGAAGACAGTTTGGAAGTTTCTTACAAAAACACATTCTTATCCTAAGATCAAGCAGTTGTGCTCTTTGCAATTTACCAATGAGCTGAGAACATATGTCAAACTAAACCTGTGCTTTAATGTTTATAATAGCAGCTTTATTCATAATTGCCTAGAGAACCAATCAGGATGGACTTTGATAGGTGAATGGTAAATAAACTGGTACATACAAACAGTTAAATATTAGTCAGCAATAAAAAGACACAAGCTCTGTCACGCCACACCATGACATGGTGGAACCGTAAATGCCTATTACTAAGCGAAAGAAACCAGTCTGAAAAGGCTGCAATCTACGTGACATTCTGAAAGGGGCACCAGTGTGGAGGTCTATAGTTGCCGGCATTGGAGGGCGGGGGGTGCAGGTATGGATAAGAAGGTGGAACACAGAGAATATTTAGGGCAAAGAAACTTCAGAATGATACTGTAATGGCAGATATGTGTTATTATAAATTTTCAAAACCCATAGAATAAGGTAACACAAAGAATGAGGCCTAAAGTAATGTAGGAGCTTTAATGTATCATTAATAGCTCATTATTTCTGACAAAATGTGACACACTAATGTAAGATGTTAATAAGAGGGAACCTCTGGAGGATGGAGTGGGTGAGGGCTACATGGGAATTATGAACTTCTTGCGTAACCTCTCTGCAACCTAAAACTACTCTAGAAAATAAAGTCTATTGAAAAAAACAGATAAACAACTGCTGAAGGAAAGACATTGCCTTAAAATAAAAACCACCACCAACAAAAAACCAGAAGCAAGCCGCAGAGAATACTCACAATACATAAATCTGAAAAAGGTCTTGTATCCAAAATAAAGAACTTGTATAAATGTGTAGTAATAAGGGTAACAATCTTGTGTACAAATGGCCAGTAAGCATGTGAGATGCTCAGCATTATCAGTCATAGGAGAAACACATGTTAGACTCTAATGGGATGTTTCACAGCCACTAGCCTGCCTAGAATCAGAGTGACCACACCAGATGGTGGCAAGGATCTAGAGCTCCATTGCCATAGGGGTGCCATGCTGGTCACCATGCTTTGGGAAACAATTTGGCAGCTTCCAAGAAATTAAACATTTACCGTAGTATTTCCACTCCTAGATTTTCCTCTCACAAGAAATGAAAACATGTCCTCAAAAAGCAAAACAAAACAAAAAACTGTGTTACAAGGTTAAGGCTTTAGGAGGTAGTTCAGTGCTGTAGCACTTGCCTAGTATGTATGAGTCCTGGGTTCGATTCCCCAGCACTGTGGAGGTGCGGGATGAAAGAGGGATCTAGAGCAAAGGATATTTGTAAGGCTTTGTTCTTAATAGCCCTAAAATGGAAATGACCCAGTGTCCACCAACAACTAATTTTAATTAATATATGTGTATAATAGAACACTACTCATTATTAAAAAGAATGAACTATTAAACAACAAGGATGAACTTCAAAAACATTGCTCAAAAAAGCCCTACTCAAGAGCACATACTTTTGGAATCTGTCTATGTGCAGTTTTGGGACAGGCAGGCAAGTGTGATCTGTGGTTGATACTGTGTGGAGCAGAATTACCAAAAAGGCAAATGATAAAATTTAAGATTTTTGAATTTCACTATATGTAAATGGTATAGTAATTGTTTTCCACTTTTATTCTATATATTTATGAGGTAGGGTATCATAATATGATACATGTATGCAGTGTGAAATTATATATAATAAATTGTTGCAAACTATGTCATTTTAGCACGTGTAAAATATAAGAATTTACTCTTTCTGTGTAGTTTGATACCTATAATCATTACAACCTCTCTTTACCTCCTTTTCTTCCTATCCTTCTTAGCCTCTAGTGATCACTATCATACTGCCCCTTTTGTGAAATCCACATGGGAGTGAGTACATGTGGTATTTATCTTTCTGTGCCTGGCTTATTTCACTTAATGTCCTCCATTCCATCCCTGTTGATGTGGACAACAGGATTTCATTACTTTTTTATGGCTGAATACTATTCCAGTGCCTACATGTGCCATATTTTCTTTATCTTCTCATTTGTTGATGAACACCTTAGTTGATTTTGTATTGTGGCTATTGTGAGCAGTGCTGCAAATATACATGGGAGTGCAGGTGTTTCTTTGACGTATTGACTTAATATCCTTTAGATTATATACTGATATTTTAAAAAATTGAAAAGCCTCAGCAAAGCAATGGAGGAAGATTTTTGGATATTTCTGCACCAAATTATAAAGGTGGTTATGAAGGTAACAACCCTTACTTAGCATTTATGTGCTAAATAGTAGTCTAAATATTTCATATCTTATTTAATATACGTGCAAGGTAGTGTAGTCTTACTTTGTTTTACTGATAAGGAAACTGATGCACAGACAGGCTAAGTAACTTGAGGCGTCTCACTGCTTTTGCAGGTTTACTTCAGTCAGTGGGACACTGAGGCCTGCCTCGGTAACAGCTGCACTCATTTGCCTTTCTTAACTAATGTTCCCCAAATCTACAAGGAGAGAATCTTAAGCCCTTACTGGTGAAAGAAGGGAATGGAATATATATACCATTAAGTTTTATAAGATCATGTGTAATATTACACATTCAGTTTGAGATTCAGGTGTCACTTGCTTCATTATCTGTAATACTAACACCACTAAACCTGAGGGCGTCTTCTGTTTCTCAGCACATTTTTGCGATATACTCTTCACACAGTCTCGTGTTTGGACACACGTTTCAAATTGCACATAGGTGGAATTCTGATCCTCTATCCTGTGCCTTGCTTTGAAGGGCTCTCTGAATGGTGCTTTTATCTTTTTTGCAGTGATGAACTTTAATGTTGCACTGTTGTGAGTTCTCACATAATAAGGCATAGATTTCTGTTTCGTTTGGCAGTAGCCTTCTGTTTAAAATTCCTTTAATCTGTTCATTCCATGCTTTTTATATTCATTTTGATGGCTTATGGCTCTGTGAAGAATATTACATGAATTTATTGCACTACTAGCACATGCATTTGTGACCTTCCTCCGTCTCGCCTTGTTAAAAGTTCAGTTTTCACCAAATTTCTGAATTTTTGTCTTCCTTGGAGTTGTTCCCCTCCCCCCCCCAAACACACTTGGAGGAAATAAGAAACAATTCACATACTAGATCTAAAGTTTCAGCAAAATTGCTTATGTCCTGTGTCAGGCATTTTAAGCGGGCCATCTGTCTAAACATCTTGCCTTTTTTTTTTTCTGATCATTTCCTCGACTTATTCATGAACCATGGGAGGCCTCCTTTGTAGTCTCCATGTAGCTGGTTCTGTCTACCCCATTGAATACATCTATGTGCTTGCATAACATAGCTTTTCACCATGCTGGAAGTTCTCTGAACTTGGTTCAGATGAACAGCCACTTTCTGAAGGTCTTTTCTTCCTGCAAAGACCTGCGTGCGGGAACTGACCTCAGTGGCTGTGGAATGCAGCACACTACTCTGGATCATTTTACAGACCACCCACTGCGAAAGTTATGATGAAGCATTTTTCAGTGATTGTTTTAACCCAATATTTTACTCCAACATAGGTAGTAGGATAATCGCAAACCAGCCTTTTCTGGTATCTGGTGAAGTGGATTCAAGATGACCATAGTCCTTGCTAACTGAAGATGCTATCAGGTTTTAATTCTACTTTTAAAAATGACATATAATAGTAGTGTATTTACATTAGTATTCTGGGCATGTTTTTGAGTAGAATATTCTGGTAAGTTAAATATATTAGTAAAATTAGTGACAGTATTTGACAGTTTTTTGTCATAAAATATAGAAAAATTAGGTATTATCAAGTAGATTCATTCTGGCTGGCTGATGATAATCAAAGTGCACAGGCCTGGGTGAGAGCTTTGATTTGCTTGTGAGTTGCTGGTTATGTGATTCTTCTTTACTGAGTTGTTTTTGTTTTTTTTTTTTGTTTTGTTTTGTTTTTTTTTGGTTTTGCTTGTTTTTTTTGAAGTCATAGCTTCCTATCAGTGTTGCAAATTAAATTGCACAGGTTGAACTTTTGGTCCAGTGGCAGCCTTCTTAACTGGAAAAGTCCTGCAGTAGAGGAAACTGCTCTGTGTATTAATATTGTGGGGGATTGAGTGCAGCTCCATGACCTTTTCCCTCTCTTTGCAGAGAGTATTCCTAAAAAATGTACCTTGGACCGATCAACCTACCTACCTACCTTCCTTCCTCCGTCCCCTCCCCATCCCAGGCCTCTTTGGACTAGTTTGAATTTCATGAATATGTGTAATTATTTTTTTTAATTTTAAAATAAAACTAGGTAATTATTACCATCCTCTTTGTTGAATTGAATCAGTGTTTCAAAATAATTATTATTAATATACTTTCAACAATTTTGCAGAAATAGACCATATATACATTCAGGTTTGCATGTACTATTTATTTATACTTTATTATAGTTTATTTCTACTTCAGAACGTGTTTATATTTGTTCATCAATTGGCATATATACACAACCCATCCATTTTATTTAAAAACCGAAACAGAACTGCTTTTAAATCTATGTGAAGCCAGAAAGACTCCTAACAAATTTTGTTTACAGAAGACCGAACTCATACAGGAATTCCACACCTTTGACTCTTGTTGGAATCTCAAGGTCTTATTTCTTATTTCACAGTGAAGCCTTTCTCTTACATTCTCTTAACATATTACCTTAAAAGAAACTGTTAGAAAAGCGCTACCTCAGGAGTTAAGTGCCCTAGGACATTACAGCTTCCATCACCTACCCAGTTCTGCTCTTTCTTTCCCCTCTCACAGGTCCGGGAATACTGGTTCAACAGGAGTGAAGGTGTCCCCAGCTGCATTACTAGGAAGAGAAGGGCCTGAGAACGTAGACCTCGGGACTTTTACTTAGAAGCCTATGCTCTTCCATAAGGCTTCTCCTGGGGCAAGCTACAACATATATGAAACAGATGTGACTCAAAATAAAGCAGTGGAAAAATAAATAGTAGCTAGGACTTGAAGAGTGGCAGCTCGTCTCACCACCATCTGCAAGATCGCTTTCTGTGGGAAAATGTGTCCTGGGTTGGAACAGGATGTCAGGATCAGCAACTTCCCACCTTTTCTGGAAGCAGAGGATGGTTGTGTTGCTAGAAAGGGTCTTTCCATTCACTTGAAAGAGTTGCCTCCATCTGGCCACTGAATTTTGAAAAAATATTACAGTGTTTAGTACAGATTAAGTGAAGGAAGATCATTGAACTTTACACTGTAATTAAGACATAGTTTCTAAGAGAATCTGAAGCAGAGAAGAGGAGTGCAAAAAACAAAAAAGAAAGTGGAGTAGTTATGGGGAAAATAAGAGTAGAGGCTTAGACTTGAGACTAATCATCATAATAAAAGTTAGCTTTTACATGTCTTAATTTAATCCTCAGTATGTCTCTATTAACGCAGACACCATTATTATCTTAATTTGATATGTAAGGAAATTGACTCAAACAATTTGCTCAAGGTAAGATGTAATGGCAGAGCTGGGTTTTGTACCAACTGTGAGTCAGCAGACTCTGAGTTCATAACTACTATGCTTAGCCCTTGCCTCCTATTGGCTTTAAAGGAGGGCTAGCCCAGTCAGGTACACAAGTCAGAAAACAGTAAATGAAATTGTTACAAAGAGTGGGGCTTTACTTTTGAGGACTTGAATGGCAGTTAGCTTATGAAGTGGAAAACTGTAGAAAAATCTTGAGCAGAGGAGTAAGCTACTTGTAACCCAAGAAAGCAAAGATTTGAGAAAGCCAGGTTACAAGGTAATCCTAACCATGAGGCTCTTTCCATCCTCACAGTACCCTGAAAGGTCAAAACATGAACTATAGTGAGGAGTCCACAGACCCTAGTGAATACCGGGGAGCTCCAAGCTCTCTCTGCCTGGGCAGTTCAGCCTCTTCTGCTTGTGTTTAGCACAGAGCAGACATTTCTCATATCCTTCTCTGGTCCTTCAGCCCTTTCTAGGCTGTGCTGGGAGCTGAGTATATAAAAATGACAAATGGGCGGCTCAAGTAGCTTAGTGGTAGAGCGCTCATGAGCACGTGTGACCCTTGGGTTCCATCTCTAGTGGTACTGGTGTTTGAACTCAAGGCTTCATACTTGCTAGGCAGGTGTTCTACCAATTGAGCCATACCCCCGAGCCCCATGATCATGCTCTAAATTTTAAGGGCTCACTGGCCAGTGGGGCAGACAATCCTGTGAACACATAATACCCTGTGGAATGTAGGTGCTAAAAGAGGGAGATTCAGGCACAGGTACACTCTGATCTTTCCTCTCTTGTACTTCCTTTCCTTTCTTCCCTCCTCTTTTTCTTCCCCCCATGTTGTCCCCTCAGACCCCTATTCAGACTCTACTGTGAAGCTCTATCCTCTGAAATGATGCTCTTCAAATTACAGTATTTGAAACATTTCCTCATCTTCAGAAAACAGATCAAATGGTGTGTCAACTACAAATATTCACCTAAATTATTAATCGTTATCCATTAGACATTGTTATTAGACATGATTTGATTATCACAGTTTTAATGAGTTTTTAATACTAAACAACAGAATTCTTGTGAAACTTGGGGGGCTTAAATGAAAATATAACTTGCAACACTTTTTTAGAACCGTGGCTTAAACTGGAGCCTGAATACTACAAAGTGCTAATGTTTAGTGCTTAGTAATACTTCACAAGTATAAATAATGTAAACATTTGACATTTAAATTAGGTTAATTCTCAAACCATTACATTTTTGTTACTTTAAAAATTGTGGGAAACACATTTGTATTCTAAAAATGGTCTTTTAGTTTTGGGCTTTTTTTTTTTTTTTTTTGGGTGGCTACTTGATTTAGTTTTTTTGGACCATGTAACATATATAGGAATAGGAAAAGACTTTGTGGAATAAGAGTAATGTTGTTTGGAGATATGGAGGCCTTGTTTGGATTTTAGGTGTTGAGTAAAACCAGGGTTATAAAAGACATAGACCATATGCATGTTCCCCAAACAAAAACCACGTATTATTTCTTTTTGATGCTGTATAACTTAGTGCCAACCACTTGTATTTTTAGAACTTGCAAGTCATTTAGTTTTGTTCTTAAAATTTTTTCCTTGCACTTATATTCTAGCTAATATGCTAAAGTGATTTTTTTCTAATTGACATCATGAAAGAACATTACATATTATTTCACAAGTAAAATAAGACATAGATTAATCTCAGCAGCTATGAAGAACAAAATAAAACCAGAATAATTATCTATGCCAGATCTTGCTGACTCAGTAGTTCATTTTATGTCTCTGAAGTTTAAAATATGTGGCATATTTGTTTATTATAATTTTTTTACAAACTGCCTTGAGTAGTAGCCAAATATTGAAAAAAATTAATATTGCTTAAGGGAGATTAGCGTGTGAAGGACTGTCACAATTAAGCAACTCAGATTCCTAGAATAGATGATGGCGCTGCAATTATCACAGAATGACTGCTGTCGTCCTTGGCGGATCTGTTTTTTTTAAACCTCTCCAGTTTAAATCTGAAAGCTGTTTCCCCCCCAAGGGTGGAACCTTTTAAAATGAAATGTTCTGAAATACACTCTTTGGCAGTTTAACTCCACACACTTAATGTCAAAGGAAAATTAGTTTTTTGAGAGCAATATAAAATTATTAACTCTTTTTCTTTCTTTCTATTCCAGAGTGCCTGTTATTAAACCAGACATGGCTAAGTGGGAGCTCTCAATAAAACTGCACGATGAAGAGCACACTGTGGTAGCGTCAAACAATGGGTCAACATTCTCTGTGAGTCCTAGTTCTTTATGTTGAAATCTCAGAATTATCTAGGAATATTTAAAACTGACTTTATTCAGTGACTTTCCTCTTTTGAATTTATAATGTAGCTCTACATTTCATGTTTTTTAGGAAGCTGAATGTGAATGATACTTCTTGTTCTCTGATGCTAATTAGGAAGCACACTCCAAGATTTAACCACATTGTAAACCCATTTCCTGATAGTTGATTGTTCTTCTCTAGCCTTTGTTCTAGAGAAGAACATCTTTGGTTCTAATTCCAAATGTGTGATAGCCATTCTTTTCATACAAGTACCCTGTAGCCTCACATAACATTATTTTTAGATTTCATATATGTAACATTCTTGAGGATAAGTTTACTTTATGGTAGTGACATGCTTTTTGTTTGAAGAATTTACAGTCTTTGCATAGTATCCATGACAGACCTGCATTAGCTTGAATTCTCATCTATAGTGAACAAAGTTCAATAAAATTTCAGTGTTTACACGGTAGTATGAACAAAGTTTAAGATCTGTCAGTGGGGATCGCTAGACAAATACTGTGAAGAATATGATTTTGTATTTCAGTCACAACTCAAGGAAACTGCTATGTAGTTAGTATAATGAACATTAAGTTTTACCCATGTGGCTTTTCTGGCTAAGTTGCATTAAAATGTCATTTTGTTTTGAGGAAATAAGTGACTTTCTATCAGAAGATTGAAACAGGATATGAAAGTAAAAATAATATGATTTCATTTTAAACTTGATGAGACTTGAGAGGCATAGTTTTTTGGTCTCAGTGAGAAAATAGTACAAGGTAGGGATTATGAGAATTCAATTATTCCACATATACTTATCACATGCCTACTGGGTGGCAGATAAGTGCTGGACTACTGCCCTGGAGAAGCTGATATTCTTGTATGGTAGCCACACTCACAAAAAAATAAAATTAATTAATGGATTCAGGGAAGTCTCCTTGATTTTCTATGAATTTTGTGATTCATTCTATACACAAAAATGCTAAAGCCTTGGTTATTGAGTCAACTCTCTTACAAATAAAAGCTGTGAAGGAGTTAAACAATTATTTCATGACATCTGTTGTGATATGCTTTGTGATTCTTTACATTCCTTCTGTTTCTACGATGTTGGAAAAAAAAGCAGCTTTGCAGGTACACAGTTAACCACGTATCGGGTTGAGTTGCAAAATTTTATGAATTGAGTAACAAATACTGCTATTACAGTATTATAGCATCTTCCTGGGGAAAGATTAATTTTACAAAAATGTGGACTTCAGCATAATTTTTTGTTTTGTATTGAGTCACCACTGAGGCCTTACTGCAATCTAATAATCTCACACAGTGTTTTTCTAAGCAGTGCCTTGCCTTAACTAGAAAACTGTCCAGCTTACTTCTTAGAGCTATTATTTCTTGTGCTTGTTTCCAATTTCATGTTGATTTGACTGCTGAAGCCATATCTTTTGAATTTTTTTATGTAGAATTTTCTCCTCCTTCACTTTTTATCTTATGAGGAAAACAAAATGAACGCATTAAAATTTTCCTTGGAGCCAGGTGCCAGTGGCTTACACCTGAAATTCTAGCTACTTAGGAGGCTGAAATCAGGAGGATCATGGATCAAGGCCACCCAGGCAAATAGTTCTCAAGACCCCATCTTCAAAATAACCAGAGCAAAAATGGACTGGAGGTGTGGTTCACCAGTAGAGCACCTGCTTTACAAGTCGCCGTGCAAAACCTTGAGTTCAAACCTCAGTCTTACTAAAATAAGTAAAGAAAAGAAGAAAGGGAGGAGGGAAGGGTAGAAGGAAGAGTGGAAGAAAGGGTAGATGGAAGGAAGAAGGGTGGATGGATTTCCCTGGAAAATATCCACCTTAATATATAGTATCAAATACTGTTTCCTATGTTCACTGACTTAGCAGCTGAGGTGCATCAATAGCCTTGTGCAAAGCATGTACTTGTGGTAGTGCAACCCTTTTTCCTGGTCATCGTTGGGTTGAGCTGCTTTCATTTGGCATCAGCACTATGAAAGAAGGCAGGCTGTACCGTGTGGGGAAAGTAAAGGCACATTAGTGTGAAGATTTCTAGGGAGACTCCGTCTCAAAAACAATACAAAACAAAAATATGGACAGGACATGAATAGGCCCTTCTCCAAAAAGATATTCACAGTGGCCAAATAAGCACATGAAAAGATGCTCACTATCACAAATAATGGGAAAAAGCTAATGAAGTGAATTAGCACAGTGAGACCCACCTCTCATCCATTAGGGTGGTTACTACCTAGGAAACAAAAAATAACAAGTATTGGTGAAAATAGGAAGACATTGGAACCTGTGTGCAACAACCTGAGTATCTACTGATGGGTAAATAGGTAAGTAAAGGTGGGACTATTATTCAACTGCCAAAAGGGACGAAATTATGCATGCTATAAAATGGATAAACCTTGAGGACATTATGCTAAGTCAAGTAAGCCAGTCACAAATACATGCTTCCCCTTACCTGAGGTACTAGTCAAATTTTATAGAGAAGGAAAATAGAGTGGTGATTGCCACAGGCTGGGAGAAGGGAGAATAAGCAGTTATTGTTTAAGAGCCAGACCATAAACTGTTTAGGAGTAAATTTAACAAACTTGCATTGTGAAAACTACAAATCATTGAAAAAGAAATGAAAGAAAATCCAGATAAATGGAAAGCGTCTTATATTCATGAGTTAAATTGAAAGATAAAAAATAAAAATAAATTGAAAGACAAGATGACTCCACTCCCTAAAGTAATCTAAAATTCAGTGCAGTTGCCACCAGTGTCCAAGCTACATTTTTGTCAGAAACTGACAAGCAGACCCTAAAATTCATATGGAAATTTAAGAGGCCCCAAATAGCCAAAATGTTCTGAAAAACAAAAATAAAGTTGAAAAACTTACATTTCCATCTTCAGCGCATACTACAAAACTGCTATGATCAAGACAGTGCAGTAATTCTATAAAGGCAGATCAGTAAATGACGAGAATATTGGGAATACAGGTATAAATCCACTGTGTATGGGGAGGACTCAGGATATAACCAGTGGTGGAGTGCTTGTCTAGCATGCTAAATCCTGGGTTTGATTGCCAGGACCATAGAACAAACAACCCAAAATTGATGTGATTATTGTAGTGGTGTGTGCTGGTCATGGTGGTGGTGGGCAGTGGTGTGATCTAGAATTGAACCCAGGACCTTGTTCATGCAAAGCATGTAGCTTTGCCACTGTGCCTCGCCCTGCCCTGTGAATTGAGTTTTAACAAAGGTGTCAAAGTAATTCAGCATGGAGGGAAAAAACAATCTTTTCAACAAAAGGTGCTAACACATTGGGGTGTCAGAATGAAGTTGGACATCTACCTACCTAATTAATGTATAAAAATTAACCCAAAATGGATTAAAGATCTAAAAGTAAGAGATAAAACATCTTTGTGATTGACAGTGTAGCTCAGAAGTAGACCACTGGCCTAGCATGGATGAAACTCAACACCATACTCACACAAAGTATTTGAAAAATCTCATCAGCTCTTGTAGATATTAAGGAATTTTTCAAATCAGTGATAAAATTCAAAATAGTGAATTTTAAGCTATGATTTTGCAGTTTTATCAAAGTAAGTTTAATTTTTAGAGTCATAAAAGGTTTGAGATAGATAAGATTTTGTGTACTTTTATTTTGTTTTCTTAATAATGTTCATTTTGGTTGGTGCAAAATTACCTCATCTTTAGATTCCTGTGGTGGAGGGAGGGGAATGTTGCATAGCACTCATATCATTGAAATTATCACCCTATATTTTTCTCACAAAGAGAGGATATGGTGATGAACATAAGAATAAAAAAAATTACATATGCATGCATAATAAGAAATAATTACATAATATTGTTTGAAGTTTTCCTTCTCTGATACAACCAATCCTTTCCCCATTGTTCTACCACCATGTATTTTATTGTAGATTGCTTAACTAAGAAGACATTCTTCTATAGTTTCTTTTGATAGTTAAAAGAGTGCTTTGGAAATCTGGTGTGAAGACGTTTAAGCATTTTGTGTAACGTTTTCATTAAAAAGCAAGCAAACAACAACAAAAAATAGACCCAGGTGCCACTGGCTCAAGCCTGTAATCCTAGCTACTTAGGAGACTGAGGTCAGGAGGATCTCAGTTCAGGGTCAGTCCAGGCTTATAGTTTGCGAGACCTCGTCTCCAAAACAAACATGTCTCCAGACTGGAGGCATGACTAAGTGATAAGAGTGCCTGCCTTTCAAGTGCATATGCCCTGAGTTCAAATCCCAGTCCTGCCAAAAACAAAAACAAGCAAGAACAAAAAAAGTAACTGAATGAGCTTAGAATATACCAATAGATAATCTTGGGCACAAAGTAACTATTTTCCTTGTGTTTTCAAATGCTAATATAATCTTAAACATATCTTTAACAGGAGTGTATATGTTCAATTTTGACCACAATCTGTGTTCCTTTTATACTAGTAATAGGGAATAATCATAAATCATGCAGTCACTGCAGCTACTATTTAAGACTAAGAATAAGGCTCATGGTTGTTTTGTTTAAATTATTAATTTTTCAAACACCTTTCCTAGAAAATCTATTATCATATCTATCCTTTTGCCTCATTGTTGGTTATAGAATAATTTCTTGTTGAACATAAAAAGTACATCAGCAAATAAGTTCAGTTAACTATTACATGTATACCTACTCTAGATTTTTTTTGCTTAAAAAATGGTCTGTAGCTTAAGTGTGCAGTATGCAGATGGGATAACACCTTGGTTTTTGTTTTTGTTTTGTTTTTGTTTTTTTTAGCTGTACTGGGGTTTGGATACTTGCTAAGCAAACACTCTACCACTTGAGCCACTCTGCCAGCCCTGTTTTGTGTTGGATACTTTAGAGATAATGTCCAAAGAACTCTTTGCCAGGGCTGGCTTTGAACTGTGATCCTCCTGATCTCTGCCTCCTAAGTAGCTAGGATTACAGGTGTGAGCCAC